CACCTTGCTGGGGTCGTTTGACCCCAGTACTCTTTCCTGCCATGGCAGGGGGTCCAACTTGATGATCTACTCAGGTCCCTTCCAACCCTAGAAACTATGAAACTATGCAAAACTACAAGACTTGTAGCCCACATTTCTGAACCATAAAGCAGAGGTGACAGCATACATATGCTAGGCACATCAAGAGATTGAACAGCGTCCACATGAGATACATATGTAATATCCTGAAAATAAAGTGGGAAGACAAAATACCAAGCACAGAGATGCTGGAGTGCCCAGAATGGATGCACTTAGAAATGACTATCAAAAAGAGGAGGTTGTGATGGCTCAGCCATGTCAACAGAATGGGAGGAGACTGTATCCCTATGAATATTTTGTATAGCCAGATTCAAGATGGCTCTAGAAAGTGGGGTCACCCTCTATGGTGGTACCATAATATGTGCAAAAATGATACAAAGTTGTTCATCATTGTTGAGGGTAGGTGCTGTAAGGGCTGGGTTCCCTCTGGCCTGATGTCCTCCTGATGGCCGACAACAGGATGAAAGGAGTCACACTATCACCCAGCTGCTCTTCAATGTTATGCTCTTGCTTGCCACAACTTTGATCTTACTTCTATTGTGGAGCTAGTTCTGTGGGTGATACCTTGAACTTGTAGAAGGAGTTTTTTTGTGAAGCTCCACCTCCCTTACACCTCATCCTTACCACTTTCTCAGTGTTGTATGATGCTCTTATTCTGGAGGGGTGGCCGTTGGGGTTTCGACCGGTAGTTCAACAAGGTCCTTCCCCTGTGGCAGGACCACTAACCGGGGCCACACAACCTAAAATCAATTCCTTTTATTTTTTTTTAAACTGACTTACCAACTATCCCAGGGGCTGACAGGGAGCACCGGGCCAGGAGACAACTGTCTCCTGGTCAGAGATGGGACACTGCACCCTATCCCCAGGGGCTGCCTGCTGCCAAGGCAAGGACAATGTCCCCCTGCCCCAGCATCAGGGAGCTCCCAGTCCCAGATCCCCAATTGAGGGTAGAGGACTTGGAAAGAGCTGCAGGGAGGGGGCAGGTCCATGTCCCCTGCCCCAATCTGCCGGTGGGGCAGCCAGCAGCTAGCTCGCTGCTAGCTGCCCTACTGGTGGATTGGAGCAGGGGGCTGGGACCTACCCCAGCCCTGCATCTCTTTCCATGCCCCATGCCTCAATCACTTGATCAGGGCATGGGGCTGGGACCTTCCCCTGACCAAGACAGTTACTGGTCCCCAATCCACAATTGCAGTGCAGGGGCTAGAGAGCTTGTTCCCTGCTCCCATGCTCAGCTCCTCGAGCATGCAGCTTGGTGGTGAAAAGGCTCCCCAGCCTGTTCTCCACCCAGCTCAACAGTTACAGGGCTGGACAAGGAACAAGCTCCCTAACCCCCACCAGCAGGAAGCTCTCAGCACCAGCTCCATGGTCACAGGGGTGGTGCTGGGAGATCCTTTTCTCCCAGCCCAAGCTCCACAGTCATGGGCCGCTGCTGGGAAATCCTTATCTCCCAGGCTGAGCTCTGTGGTCACAGGGCCGGCCCTAGGAGATCCTTATCTCCCAGCACTAGCCCCGCTGTTACAGAGCTGGCACCAGGGGATATGAATCTCCCAGCCCCTGCTCCCTGATTGTGATGGCAAAGTGGGGGTTGGCAGATAAGGGTCTCCCAGTCCCTGTTCCCCAATTGTGATCTCAAAGTGGGGGGGCTTGGAGCTTGCTACTGCTGGGGCAGGGAGACATAGTCTGTGCCCAGGCTCTGGTGGTGGAGCCCACCCTGGTAGCAGGCAGCTCCTGGGGGCAGGCAGCAATCTCCTACCACCTGGTGGCTGGCTGACTGGGAGCAGATTTGCTCTTGGTCAGGCATCTACACTAGAGCTACTGTACAGTAAGTAATCGCAAGTAGATTTACTATTTGCATTTGCAGGTAATAAATGTACTTACGATTAGGGAGGTTTACTGTGCAGTAAGCATGTGTACATATAGACATACATGCTTACTGCATAGTAAAACTACACTACTGCTCAGTAAAACGTTTCATGTAGATGCACCCAGTAACTGCCTGCATGCCTGGTCTTAACCCACAGTAAGTGGAAGCTAACTTGCCATAACTTAGCTTTTTCACTGAGAGCGAAGCTGCCATGGTTAATTTCCCTTACTGCAAGCTAAGATTGTACGTACAGGCAGTAATTATGGGCTTGATAACGTGTGATAAAGCCCTTTCCTCTTTAACCTCCCAGTAAATTGTTCAAGTATCCAAGTTCTAAGATGCAATTCATTTACTTATAACACTTACACACTTCAGATAACTATTTCAAAGAGTTATTACTTTCTAATACACTAATTCAAGAGTTCCTATTATATATGTCAACTGTAAAATAGAAATAATATGCATCTATCTAAAATATACATGGATATATATACATATTCACACACACACACCCCACCCATTTTCCTCAATGAAAAACAAATATTTTTATTTGAAGACTTGGAGAGAGAAGTAGGAATTCACCTCAAAAAGATGTGGATCAGTTATGAAAGGACAGATGCTATGGACCAGATTCCCAAGCATAAATTTTCTTTTCATTTTCAGTTGGATGCTCGGTTTTTGAACCAGCATTTTAAAATAGATTAGATTTATGTTGTAATTGGACACACAACTAAATTATGTTGACTGCAGGCAAACCATTTATGGTTACCAAATTGCAAAAGTGGAGGCCTGGTTAAAGCAGTGCAATGATGTGCTTATAAACAGGAAGGAGCTCTTTGAGAATGTGAAGGTGTAAGATAACTTGGATAACAGAGATGACAGGACGTGATAGGGCCCTTGTACATGTACTTGGCATTTACTCACTAAAAGTGTTCCTGGTTTAATTTTTCTTTCTTAGTTTAAGATGCCTAATAAGTAATGTGGACATGATTTACCACACAAGGGCTTATTATGCTATGACTAGTAAAAAGTGCTAGAGGGCATGTCAGAACAATTTTACCCTCATGACCTTTCTGTACTAGTTTAAAATGCCCTAAAGCACCACCTGGCAGTAAGTAATCAGTCCTACTGTCTCAGGATGGGGTCCTCAAGGGTGGCCGTGTTCTCCTAAGATCCCTCGACTGTGCCAATTTGGCCCTCTGGGCACCTTCAGTTCTTGCCCGTCACATCTTTGATGGAAATATAGAAATAGGAAGGCTGCCTTTAAGGCTGCCTGGACACAGTTTGATGGACTCTCTGAACCCCGTGGGTTCCTGGACCCCTTGTGGGTCACATTTTACAGTGGGTGTTTCAGGGTACCCTAGCCTTATGGGCTATATGCGTGGCTCCAATCGCCCCTTTCCCATGCCCCAAGCCTCGCAGATGGTACAGGCATTGCCTTGCCTAGGCCTTGTTGTAATTTGGCCCCTTATCCTCACTAGGTTCTCCACAGCCCTATCTCTGTGCCCCTCAGCACTGGGCTCTCTGCAGCCCTATCTCTGCGCCTCTCTGGCACCAGGGTCTCTGCCCCCCAAAATGCTGCACCCTTTCTGGTGCCAGGGTCCCCACGCTGCAGTGGGCCCCCAATGAGGCCTCCTCCTTCCCCAAATAGCCTCACCCAAACCACCAGTCTTATAAAATGGCAAACAAAACATAAGCCCCTGGGCTATAACATAACATAAGCTACATAAGGTGTGCTCGGCCCCTTTACATTACCCAGAGCAGAACTTAGTTAGGCTTCTCATCACTTGCTCTAGGAGGACTCCTTCTCCCTTGGCCACCAGCAGAGAACTGCCTCCTAGTCCCTGTCCTGGGGTTTATATGGGCCCAGGGCCCTGCCCCTTCTGGCCAGCTGACCAGGTGCAGGTGCAAGCCAATTTCCTCATTAGTTAGTTGCCATGGCAACCTGCACCTGGGCTCCTGTCTTGGTCTTTGGGCTCTTCCCAGGCAGTTTCTCGCAGGAGGATGTGGGGCCCAGGGCAAATCAGAAAATCAGCTTGTGTGGGAGGGCAGTGGCGGGTCCCCGCACAAGCTGATTTTCCCCGGGTCCTGCACCAGAGCCAATCTGAGGGGGCAGGGAGCAAGGGAAAGCCAGTGCTGCAGGGGCTGGGAGATTCGAAATGAGTCAAAACAGCATCAAAACGAAACAGCTGGCAAAGCTTCACACAGCTTTAACACACACACACGCTACCCTTTTTTTTTTTTGTTTTGTCTTTATTCATGTAGCCCCAATTTTTTTTACCTTACTTGTGTAATCTCCATCCACGTACACTCCCGCCTGCCCTCCTTCCCTCTCTCCCTGAGTCTTTCCTGCAGCATGGTGGCTTTTTAGATAGAACCCATGGTGTTTTGCAACTGTCTTGATAAAACCAGCCAGTCCCATTGATGTAGGAGTTCAAGTTGGGCAGCTTGTTGACTGTGGTAAAATTCTGCCCCGCTGTAGCTTCTCAGGCAAAATAGTCCTTCCACACACCTTCTCCCATGGCAGGGGGAGGGGAGGGGGGGGCTTCTGGGGCAAATAGTTTATCCCCCACCTTTTCTGCCCCGTGACTAGGGGCTTCAGCCTTTAGCATTACGACATTCATGATTTCATTTTTCAATGTGTCTATCACACTTTCTGCTGTAATCAAAATATTACTCATGTCTTCCTCCTGCAAAATCGGAAAATATCTTTTTAAGGTTTCTTACTGTTTTGCACATCTAAAAATAGTCCTTCCACACACCCTCTCCCATGGCTTCTGGGGCAAAACAATCCTTCCACACACCTTCCCCCATGGCTGGGGGGCTTCTGGGGCAAAATAGTCTTTCCCCCACCTTCCCTGCCCCATGGGTAGGGGCTTCAGGCTTTATCATTACAACATTCATGATTTCATTTTTCATTGTGTCTAGCACAGTTACTACTGTAATCAAAACATTACTTATGATTTCCTCCTGCAAAATCACACAAAAAAAGTTTTTCAGCCAGTTTTTTACTATCAAGGGCATCTCACACACACATACATTCTGTTTACAATAGCAACAATGCTGAACTGAAATACAGTCCTGGAGTCAGTTTCAATGTCCGTGATGAAGAGGTGTCTGCTGTCAATGTGGTGGGTGGGAATAGATGCCTAATGCTTAATAGCTTCCCTACCTCCATCTTGCCTATGTCTCACCACTTGTAGACCAACCGCATCCCAACTTGTGCATGCATGTGTACGTGCACATGCATGTGTGCACACACACACGCACACAGCACCCTGCTTTGTGCTGGCAACAATGGGTGCTAAAAATGCTCAGTTCTTTCACTGCAGAAAGCAGCTTTATTTTTGGTTTTTTGGGTAAAATCTAAAAAAAAGGTTTTCCCTAAAAATCAAGACCAACATTACATGCAGGTTTGAACAGTGCTGGTAAACTTTGTGATATAATTTTATTATTTTCACCAAAAAAAAGTTTTTCAGCCACTTTTTCACTATGAAGGGCATCCCAGCTTCCTCACTCCATGGTGGGCCTTCCAAAACAACCAAGCACCCACACACCCACCCACCCACATGCACACAGACATTTCTATTGATGTAGAAGTTCAAGCTGGGCATTTTGTTCTGACTCAATTTTTCCAGATCATAGTGTATTAACATTCCTGGGAGCAGTTAGCAGTTGGCAAGCTCTCTTACTGCCTCTTGCCTCCTGGCTGGGATTCTGTCTGGGGAAAAAAACGCTCCTCTGGTGTTTTTTGTGATATAATATAATATAACAGCTTTGTGATATAATATTATTTTATTCACAAATAAAAAAGTTTTTCAGCCAGCTTCACCACTTAATACCAACAGCTGCTTCCCCCATGGCTGTGGGGCTCTCTTAGCACCCTTGGTTGGTGCTGGGCTACATACCCTCCCCTCCCTGGACAGGCCCTCCTAGCCTCTTCCCCCTCCTGCTTCCCCTACGTCTGTAAAAAACATAACTGTCAATGCTTGGACTCATAAAAATGTAATGCAAAAATGTAAATGTAAAAATGTAACTCATGGTTTATCTAAAGCCTCAATGGAAACAACATCAATTTGTATGTAAAAAAGAAAGAATCCTGTGTCTTCTCTCATTTGTATCATGTCAAACTGTAAGGAATTTTTGCTGTGGTTGGGGAGTAGTTGTTATTGAGAATCATCAAGATTCCTTGTTTACCAGAGATCCCCTTGCCCAGGACAGCTGCCCCCAAAGTGGTATAGGAAGCAAAAGTACCGGCAGCTTGCTGTCTGTCCAGTGGTGCCTCTCTCAGCTGCAGGGGACTTGGATGCAGGCTCTCCCTTCCCAGTTCCTTAATCCATAAATGCTTGATCACCAAAGCAGCAATAAAACATTTCCTTCTCTTTTCTTTTTTCTAGTAATTGATGCCGCGCTGGCTTAATTGACTGCACATGGCAGCCAATTAACACAGAAGCATCAGCTTCTCTTGAGTATCTGAGCTCCCCTGAGCTCTCAAGACTCTGCAGGTCCCTTGCCTCGTTCCCAGGGACTTCAGTTCTGGGCAGCAGACAGGCATTCACACTGTGTGCCCCAACTCTCTCTCCTACCGTCCCACACCACCCCCCCCTCCCGGGACCAGAAATAACCCTGGGCTGCTTAATGAGCCCAATCTGCTTCACCTGGCGAGGTGATAAAATGGCGCTGGGAAAAGCTGGGAGCTCCCACTGGAGTGTGGCCATGCCACTGCAGTTGGGCAGACTCCACTGGCCAGGGGTCTGCTCTAGGTATGTAACTTTATCCTTTTCACAGTTGGCCATGGAGGGGAGCAAGAAAAGTAAAATTTTGGAAGATGTGATGGATCCTTTGCAAGGACAAGGACCAAACTGGACTTATGCAGAAGTTGAGGCACTGATTGACACTTGGAGTGAAGGGAGTCTCATGACACAACTGGGAAGCCACAGGAATAAACCTGTTTACGTCTCTACTTCTGAACAATTAGAGCAGCTTGGCATCAGATGCAACTGGGAACAGTGTTGCAGTTAGATGAAGGCCTTTAAGTGTGGCTTCCATTGCATAAAGGACAACAATTCTCGGTCCAATGCCTCATGTAGAACAATTCCATTTTACAACAAGCTATCATCCTTAAAAGAGATGCTTTAGAGGCTTGCATGACTGAGTTTGGGACAAGAAGTATGCATCACGAGGAACCAGAAACTCCCTGGTGCCAAAGTACCTGTCAAGCCACAGCTACTTTGCAAGTTCCATGCAATCAGCCTTCTCCTCAAGAACAGAATCAGTCACAGACCAGTGACCTTGCTAGTGACTTCTCAAGGGACCTCTTCAGCACACAGCCAGAAATGAGCTCCCCCTCTACTCTAGTGAACCCACGTGTTTTGGTACCAGACACCCAACAGATGCTCAAAAGACATAACTCTCCCATTCATGATGAAGGAAGAGGACTCCGACTCAACCGTCATTGTGTTATAGGACTCACCAGGCTCCAAAGAGAGTACTGTCAGGGAGGCAATGGCAGAGTCCTGAGATGGAGATTCTGCTATCCTCATGAAGGGTGACTTGTAAGTAACAGTACTGGTATTAGTAGAGTTCTGGATTTTTGGTTTTACAAATTGTGGGAGTGTGTCTGCCTTCCACCCCCTCCTCCCTCAGTACTTGTCTGCCATGACTAAGAAGATGGAAAAATAAGAGGATGTTATTCCCTGCAGGGAGGGGTAAGATATGGCAGACCACCCAGTTGGCTGTCTTCAGCAGTGCAGGTCTTTATTTAACTTAGAAACAAAGGTATCTCCATGCTAATATATGCATCATGAGCAGGTCCAAGGAGATGATCCTCCCCCTGTATGTGACATTGGTCAGGCTGCAGTTGGAGTACTGCATCCAGTTCTGGGTGCCGCACTTCAGGAGGGATGTGGACAGCATGGAGAGGGTTCAGAGGAGGGCCACTCGCATGATCAGAGGGCAGCAGGGTAGGTCCTATGAAGAGAGACTACGGGACCTGAACCTGTTCAGCCTCCACAAGAGAAGGCTGAGAGGGGATCTGGTGGCCACCTACAAACTTGCCGGGGGGACCAGCAGGCAACGGGAGAGTCCGTGTTCCCCCAAGCACTACAGGGAGTTGCAAGGAATAACAGCTATAAGCTGACTGAGAGTAGGTTCAGGCTAGACATCAGGAGGCACTACTTCACAGTCAGGGCAGCTAGGAGCTGGAACCAACTTCCTAGGGACGTGGTGCTCGCCTCTACCCTGGAGGTCTTCAAAAGGAGGCTAGACAATCACCTAGCCAGGGTTGTTTGACCCCAGCATTCTTTTCTGCCCATGGCAGGGGATTGGATTTGATGACCTGCTTCCAACCCTACCAACTATGAAAATATTAAACTAATTACTTCATTAATGGGAGGCGGCCGACTTGCCGCTTAGTCAATTACAGTTTCCCAGCAGTTCTTGCTTGGATGGCAGGCTCGCCTCGGGAGTCCTCCGCTGATTTGAGTCTGCCTGTGAACTGCCAGTCACTCTAGCTATGCTGGTTGTTACTTAACTTGCCAGTTGCTTAAATCACAAGTGAGACTTTATAAAGGGGTATAAGACAAGGTGCTGCACTTATTGATCACATGAATTAGACAGAGATTCGGAGACACCATTCATACAAATACACGCAAATCATCATAAACATCATTACACACAAGCATACACATACACAAAACAAACATTCCATTCACACACCAGATACAGTTACCTGCAATAGTTGCTCAATATCAGCCCAGGGTGGCCAACCCAGGCTTACTGA